GTTGACAAGAATCATCAGAGTCCAGGCAAAGCCGGAGTGACTCTGCTGAGAGGGGTCCTTTTTTGCGTTTAGAGCCGTCTTGGCCCGAGGAATGCGGCGATTTTGACCTTGCAAGGCCAAAGCGAAAGATGTCCTTTACTGTTAGGATTAATAGCCACTAAGAACCAATAATCCGACTCGTGTGCTTCCTGACCGGCTTAGTCGGTTGGTTCACAAAATGACGCTGTACCGAATGGTACCACAGAAAGGTCCTGTGAGGGCAACGGGGTTTATTTTTATTAATTGCCGTACTGGTTAATGGTCATTCGATTAATTATAGCTATCGGATGGGGCCTCATAGCCTAGTCAGTAAAGGCACGGTATTACCAAGCCGGAGGCGGCGGGTTCGATTCCTGGTCCGGTCGAGGGAATCTTTCGGGTTGGAAATTTTCTCGACTTCCCTGGGCATAGAGTATCATTGTGCTTGCCTTGCCACACAATATACAAATTCATGCATTGGTAAGTGGCATCGAAAGCTCTCAATTAATAACTGCGGAAGTGCATTTAGAACACTAAGTTGAGAGCACGCAATAAGCTAATATGCGCTAAGCAATAAGCTTGAAATGCGAATAAGAAGAAGAAGAGAAGCTATCGGTTATTAATTAGCCAAGCCGTATTACCTGATTGAACACATAGATATTCCCGCGATTCACCACTCACTTTGCATTAATTTAAGGACACTTGGTTTAAACGATCCGAAGCACACGAATGCCAGATACTGATTGAGGAATGGCGGTTTTCCTTCGCGCTTTTCCCATCCCATTGCTCTTCTCGTGAGACGTTATTTTCCATCCATTTTGAAATCAAAATTTCGCCCGAATGTTGTTGTGCCCACAGATAGAATACTCATACCCACTGTACTGTTGTACGGTTTTATACAATTTTCATATTTAGAACAATTAATCCTACTAACAAATTTAACAATTTTAAACAACGACTACTAACCCTACTAATCCAACACCAAATAACCTTAAGAGACGGGACGGTACATTTAACAACTATGCACAAGTCGCTGTAATTTGATGTCCCTACAATTACTTGGTGTTCGCCGAGGCGTCTCTAAGGCTATTTACCTTCATCGAGGATCTCCTACGATCGGACATTAATTGTGGTTCACTTCTGCAGCAGTTGAATGTCAATATCAGACGCGTAAACTTACGTTCTGATTATTTTTTCAACATACCGACTTCTCGCACAAACTACGGCGCTTTTTATGAGACGTTAACTAGCATGTGCAAGATTTTCAACAAATATTATAACTGCTTTGATTTTAATATCTCCCGCGTTAGGCTTAAGAATATGTTTTAAAGTGTACTTTTAACTTCCTGACAGTTTCTGTTTTCCGTGTTTAAATTAAGTTAATTATGTTATCATTCATATCTTTTTATATGTTTAGGACTTAGTTCAAGCAAATGTATATGTAGGATTCAATGCTATCTGTTGGTACTGAAATGATGAGGTTTTGCACCCACTAGTGTGGGCTTTTCCTCAAAAAAATAAATAAATAAACGGAACTAAAAGTTATTTCTTAATCGCAACTTGCCTTTAGAATGATATCGCAGGCAACAGACATAATATTTGGTTCTATCATAAGGAATTAACTATCTTAAGACAATTTAAGTGAAACCTACTTCACAACTAGTTTTTAAAATTGTACATGATCAAATTCCCGGTTTTTTATACGGATTTTTCATAAAAAACATTAGTGGGGATAAATATGACCCCCTCGCTCCTCTTCGGCCGTTGCTTTTGCCGTTCAATACACCAAGTTGGCGCAACTGACCACACCGTCTCGACGACACAGAACATAATTGTCTGTACCTACCAACCCGCCTACACCACGGCATCATCATCCGCATCGTCGGTTCGTCTGACTGCAAGAAAAGTTGTTCCCAAAACGGAAAAGTTTTGCGCGTTTTGTTGACAAAGCTACATCACGTCGCTTTCAGGCGGCACTTTTTAGTCGGTCGGTGGTGGTGGTGGTGGTGAGGTACCAGCTCGCCACGTCGACTTTTTCACGCTTCGAAGATGACAAAAAACCGACAGACAAACCCTCGCTCGTCGTAGTCGAGGTTTGCGGCGGGGATGGTTCTGGATCTGGTACTGGGGTGGTGGCGCGAACCCAAAGTGCCACAAAAAGTTGGTGTTTTATTGTTTGTTTTCCAGGAAGTATGTTGTGGCAAAGAGCGGGAACGGATGAAGCAAATTTGTTCCTCAGCAGCAATAAATTGGCTACCCCCAACGATTGACGGCTGCCTGACTGTGTGGAATGAAATGGAATATTGATGGTGGGATTTCGGAGGAATCGGTTCAGTTTTAAAGCATGCCAGAGGAATCTCCATTGAAAGTTCAATCACGCGCATCACGATCCAGACCGAGCAGCACGAACTTATAATATATTCATTTCAAGCTTCACCATCGCGTCTGGATTTGGAATGCTTACAGTGGATTCTTATCCTATTAAAATCGGATTGTAAACATATGCTCGTCACAATCCGCCTTCTCCATTTTCATGCAGACATGTTCCGCGAAGAAATGTCGCCCAAAAAGGGATCATAATTTTCCCCAGCTCGTGTCAGATTGCCCGATTTCGAAGCCTAAAGCCTAACCAAAACACGAGTCTCAGCTGTGCTGATCCGCCTTCCACATACATATGTGTAGCCCTAATCTGGTTCGACATCCCTCACCGAGATAGAGAGCTGTCTCCTCTCGGTGTAGGCGCTAGGATTTGTAATCATGGTTTTGAATCTTCAATCTACAGTTGTGCAATCGCCGCCGCCGCCTCCTCCCCCGGCCCTATTCGGTATGAAATCTGTTTCACAACAGGCATTGATTGCCCCTGGGGTGTGGCCTCCTGCTTCCTGTTCGGAGCAGGAGCAGGGGGAGATAACTTTATTTGGCTTCGATTTTCCCGCTTATCAGAAGTGCGTCTGTTCGAGGCTTTACTTTGCAATGTCTTCGTCGTCAGTCAGTGAAATATGCCAGTAGTAGTGGGTGGGCCATATTCGATGTCCCATAGGCAGTGCGATTGGAAAACATGCGTGACGCAGAGAAGCTATTGAATACGTTTAAAGCGAAAGTGAAAGCAACAGATCGGGGGGTAGGAAATTGCTGTTCTTGATTTTCAATTGGCTGAAGACAACAACAAGAAGAAAGAGAACCGTTCCGATCGGAGGGTGGAAGCTTTATAAGAAATAAAAAAAACATAGGATAGTTAGTATAAACGGCTTTTCCTGCGGTTACCAGAGCAGAGGTTGTGTGGGATGTGGTGCGTTATCGAGAATTGGAATTTTATTTATAATATTATTGTTCCTCTGATTTTTCCAACCGAAGGCGAATGAAAATGAACGACTAGGCCTAGCTGGAAGCGATTCAGTGTTTAAATTGGGTATTTTCCGTTTAAGAGCGATACCGCTGAAAATCGATCTTTAAGGGAGTCTGGTAACAATGTTTATCAGTTTTTCGATTTGGGGAAGGGTGGAAAAATGCATGTATATGTGTAATTTGATTATGAAACATGTTATTAACTGTCTGTTCCGTTGCCGAGAAGCGTGCTTGTTTACAGCATCGGCACGCACTTTGAGCTGCAGATCAGCCTGATGCAGCCAAAAACAGGCTTATTCAACTTTTAGCCTGCTATATTGTTTGTTTGGACATTTAGAAAGAGGGAGAAATTTAAAAAGAGTTCCGTGAGATTCAATGAAGTTTCTTAAATTTAAGAACAATTTCGGCAACTTCAGGGAAGATTAATGAACCTAATGACACATTATTATTAATTTCAGGAAATTTTTATTAATTTCAGGAAATATTCGGGACCTTTCAAAATGTTCTTAAGAGTTCAGGGAAGTTTTGAAAGCTTTAAGGCAGTTCCAATAACTTCAGAGAAGCATCGAAAACGCCAGGAATGTCAAGACTTTCGGAGAAATTAAAAGCTTTCATGAATTTTGAAACAATTCAAAAACTCCATAGCTAATCTAAAAAACTTCATTTATGGTTTCGTTTTAGCTTCTGGAAAATAACGGGAACCTTACAGAAGTTCAAGAAATTTGAGGAAAATCCATAGAACTCCAGTGAAATTTAATTTTTTTAGGATGACTTTTGAAACTTCACAACATTACGTAGAACTCCAGTTGAGTTCAGGAAAGTTCAGAGAACTTCGTGTAAATTGCAAATAAAAAACTCCAGAGAAGTTCATGATCATCAGGATGATGCAGAAGCATTTTATGAAAGTATGAGATGCTCAGATCTATCAGACTTAAAGTTGTAATTTCATACGATAGATGAGGAGATGAAAGTATAGAGCTGATAGTTCCATTAGAGTACCGCAGTTCCAATAATTTCAGTAAAAATCCATATTGATCCACCGGGCAGGTGAATAGAACCTTTGTTACACAGTAAAATCTCGTTTATGATATTATCCATAGATAAACGAGGCCTCAATGGATATTTTTATTTTTATTTGTCTCAGTTTCTGCACTGCTCAATAGAACAGCAATTGCTAGTTTGAATTGGAGTCCAAATCAGGGGGTGACCCCGGCGTAGTGGTTAGCATCCATACCTCTCACGCCAAAGTCACGAGCTCAAATCTCACCCCCGGACAAGTCACGAATAACCCAAGAGCGTTAAAGTGACTTTAAAAAAAGAAAAAAGAAAAAGGAGCCCAAATCCTAATTTAATAATCATTTGATTTATCACGTCAAAACATCGATCTCTTCTTTCGATCTTTTCGATCTTTAAAATAAAATAAAAGAAGTGTTAACTTTTGTAATTGTATTTACATCGAAAAATCGATTTACTCTCATCCCAGACTGCGTGGTAAATTTAACGAACGTATCATCAACATCAGCATCGCTCCCCACAATGACATCACTATTTGCGTTTCCGATATTTACGAATACAGCAACATTTGAAGGTTTTCGCTACCTCTCTCCTGTGCTCATTGCTCCTTACGGCTACCCAAGAACGTGCACATCTTTGTGTATGCCGACGACGTTCTCATCGTGGTAACCGGGCCCACCACAATCCGCACCAGGAACATAGCGCAAGCTGCCGTCACAGCCGTCGTGAAATGGGCCGAAACAGCTGGTTTCCAGCTCTCGGCCAGGAAAAGTGTTAGATGCCACGTCTGCCCGTCCCGACACAGGGTAAGCGGGGCCGCCATCAAGATCGCCGATCAAGCTATCCCCGTTAGGAACTCCGTTCGGATTCTGGGTGTTCTAGTGGACCGCACGTTGTCTTTCGTGCCCCACTTCAACCAGGTGAAGAAGGATTGTAGAAGCAGGGTCAATCTGGTCAGGACCATTTCCAGGCCACACCGATCCAACAACCGGGCAGTTCGCTTCCGTGTCTCGCAAGCCATCATCGACAGCCGGCTGCTGTACGGAACCGAACTTACGTGCATCGCATCGGAGAAGCAGGAGGAAATTCTTGGCCCGACTTTCAACAGTTGTATCCGGATCATTTCCGGTCTCCTACCTTCCACCCCCGCAGATTCTGCGTGTGTTGAAGCAGGGGTCCTACCCTTTCGGTACCGCATCATAAACGCCACGCTGTACAAAGCTGCATCCTTCGCCGCCAAAACAGCAGGGAATGGCAGAGTCTTCCTCCTCGACGAGGGGGATAGAATCATGCAATCGATCGCCAGCATCGACCTCCCCCCGGTGGCTAGGATCCACTGGCACGGAGAGAAGAGTTGGCTCTCTTCCAAACTCATAATCGAAAACGCGATCAAGAATCGATTCAAAGCAGGAGACAACTCTGTAGCCCTACGTTGCACAGTAGCTGAGCTTCTCAGGTCCAAGTTTACCGATTTCACCCACCGGTACACCGATGGTTCCCGATCCAACACGGGCGTTGGCATCGGAGTATCCGGAAGTGGCATACTCGTCAGCAACAGCCTACCACCGCAGTGCTCCGTTTACTCGGCAGAAGCGGCCGCGATCTTCCACGCGGCCACGTCACCAGCTAATCAACCAATTCTCATTTTGACAGATTCGTACAGCGCTATCCAGGAGCTCTGCTCGGCAACTCCCACCCACCCGTGGATTCAGGCTACTGTCAAGTACGCACCCAGTAATACCGTTTTTGCGTGGATACCCGGCCACTGCGGAATTCCCGGAAACGAGGCAGCCGACCAACTCGCTGGAACTGGACCGTCGGGTCCCAGATTCACCGACAAAGTTCCCCTCCAGGACGTCAAACGGTGGATTAAGGCCACCGTTCGGAAGGCATGGACCGACCAATGGGCCAGCACTCGAGGGCCTTTCATCCGGAAAATCAAGGGAACCACGGAGGCATGGACGGACCTCCGAAACCTACCGGACCAGAGGATACTCTCGAGGCTGAGGACTGGACACTGCCGTCTATATCTCAACTTCGGCGGAGGACCCTTCCGCAGGAGCTGCACTATCTGCCACGTTCCGGCAACCGTCGAACACCTACTGTGTGTCTGCCCGGAATTCCAGGACCTCCGGGAGACTTACGGGATTACCTCCAGCATCCGGAACCTGCTCGGAGAGGACTCGCCTGCTGCCGACGCCCTCCTTGTATTCCTGAGGGAGGCGAATTTGTATCATCAAATTTAGTCCGTTTTTGTAGTCAGTTGCTAGTATCAGTTTTTGTTTGTTTGTTTTCTGCTAGCTGTCGGGACGGCACCGGACGGGATGAGCCTTTGGACCTCGTCACGGTGTCGTCTCGTTCAGGTCATCGTTCCATATGTTTTAACTTGTTTTTTTGCGAAGAGCCAGGAAAGCTGTATTTTACAGTTTTCAGTAGCAGGAGGGACACCACATGGGATGAATCTTTGACCCTCATGATGGTGGTCACCCTAGATAGTCATTAAGGAAAACGATCAAATTGTTATGCTAAAACTCTGTCAAACAACTCCGTAGGAGGTTCTCCTTCTGAGGCCTCACCCATGACTAAAGAGATGAACTAGCCTCAGGCTAAAAATCTCTAAAATAAAGAAAAAAAAAAAAAAAAAAACATTGCTCCTTACCCTCACGACAACATTCAATTGAATATTATAAAGGAAAGAATTTTTTGGGGTACCAACGTAAACTAGCGTATAGTCGATTCTTTATGCAAGAGTATTGATGGTCCGAAAGTGAGGATAATAATGATAAAACAACATTTTTGTCTAGAACGAAAGTGAGGATAGCAAACAAAGCACTTGAAAATGGGATTACATAATTGTGTGAATTATCAAAGTCGGAAAGGTCAATTAAAATAAAAACCATAAGACCGAACTACCAAAAATCGGTTCTATGGTACCGATTCAATCAGAGCTAAGTATAAGATCGACTCTCAAGATGGCCCAATCCAAGGACAGGCCATTTTCAAATGTTCCGCGAGAATACAGAATTGAAATCGAAAAAAAGGGACATCACTGTCTACGGGTCGTTAGAGTTTTTAGATTTGTTTCACGATGTACCAGTTCTAATAGCGATTTTTAAAAATGAGGGTGACGTATAGGTTTAAAGCGCCAGTTACACTATCCTCCTTGTGAATTTATTGACGTAACGTCCACTTTATATGTATAGATGTTTAGATGTATGGGCAAGAACAGCGCAGGATGCAAGTTATTTCTAAACAACCCAAATTTGAGTAGGATCTACTCATATCCACCAAAATTGAGTAAACAAAGTTGGGACTGACAAGATGGTGAATGAACAACATCGACCTAAATCCGAGTGTTAATATGTTATCTTGTCAGTAACAATCTAGTTTGCTCAATATTGGGTAGCCATACTGCTAATGGAAATTAGTAGATCTTTCTGAAAATTGGATTGTTTAGAAATAACGTGTGCAGACAGGTGGAAAAAATCGTTGCACACGGCAAACGAGATCAACACAAATTTGATTTTACTTTACTCATAAATTGCAAAAAAGTACAGGAGCTCAGAAAAATTTGTATCCTGTTTTCCAGCTTTTTCAAGGAATAAATGCCAGAAAATGATAACACTAACGGTTGGATTTTATCAGTCTATTGGTACTACTATTAGACTGTGTAAAATTTTCGTAAATTTTCCTCATTTTCCAGCAGATTATTGAGGCTTTTATTTGGGTTGTTAATTATTAACGTACCGAAGTGCTCTGTTATGACATTTCATCGTTCAAAACAACCGATATTGTTCGATTATAGCATCAAGGGTACTTCACTTAAACGAGTTGAAGTGATTACTGATCTCGTAGTTGTTCTGGATCCAAAACTGACGTCCAATTCTCACTACACTTCGATAATTGCCAAGGCAAATCGACAGTTGGGCTTTATTTCGAAAATTGCAAAGGATTTTACGGATTCATATTGCTTGAAATCCTTGTATTGCGCGCTGGTACGGCCAATTCTCGAAACCGCTTCTGTTGTTTGGACTCCAAATGATGTTTCCTGGACCTTAAGGATTGAACGTGTCCAGCGACGATTCATCCGGCTAGCACTGCGTCATCTACCTTGGCGCGATCGGTCGATTGATAATGTTTCATACAGGTGAGATATCTTGTGTGGATGGCTATCGGTCGCAGACGACAAGACGTGTGAAAATCGATTCTAATTCCTATGTTACGCTAGTAACAAAGGTAACAAGGTGGAATCTGCAACACCAAACGTCAGATCGGTATGAAATTTTTTTCACAAGTAGATATTAATTAAGTCTTTCTATTGTTAAAAAAAATCATGTTGATAAAGTGTACCGTTGATTTTTAAAAAATCGTTAGCTAAAATTACTCTGCCCTTTATATCTCCGAAACCGGAAGTCAGATCGAGAAAAAAATCAATAGCGATCAATGGCGCAATAGGGCCTTTCAAACGAGATATTGTAACGGGGTTACAAAAATGTATTTACAATGATATAAATATAATTTAAATTTAAATTTATATGTACAGAATAACAATGGGACAAGTCCCCTCGAGCACGTTGGTAGCGAGTAGCGACAAGCTAAAAAAATTCATGACGTTCATATGGGGTTACATTCAACCAATAAAAAACGAACACGTCCTCGCGGTAGAATGTACAATAGAACCCAAAAGGGGTTTGGGAAAAAAGTTCGTAGCATCGTTCTCAGTCCGGTTTGATCATTTCGATAGAAAGGGTGTAAGTGGATACAGAAAAAAAATACGTTGTGAGAAAAGAACAATCAATTGTATATTAAACAGTAACTAATTGTGTGAACAAAATTGAAACGATTAAGTGAGTTTAAATAACCTGATATCAATTTTACAAAACCTAAAAATTGTAATAATTTTTCTAGTCAGAAATTAAAGGCAAGAAATTATTGTGAACAATTAAATGCCAAAGATACCTCTGCGAGTAGTGCAAAACGTTCATCAGGTAATTCTTTTGATACAATTTCCACCAAGTGTTAGATTTTAAAGTACATTCGTCGTTTGAAGATTTCCTTCAAACGAAGGTCGCCGGTTAGGGCATAACCTGGTTTGCCGCCGGAAGTCACCACGTGCGAGATTCCACCCTAGAAAGCCAGAGAGTACCGTCAGGGAACGGTCACGTCGTATACCCGTCATTTCCATACGACCGCCGTGAGAGAAGATCGTTACATCCCCGGAAGCACGCCATCGGTACGGAAAATTGCGGTCCCCCTGTACTCCACCATTCGGTCCGTCATACTACCGTACGATACTTAAGGTATCCAGTGACGTCACGCTTTCAATCCGTGCTTCCCTTCTCGAAAACGGCATACGAGGACCTAGTAAACGTCCTTATACACCGCCGAGAATATTAGCGGTCGAGAAAACGGTCACCTGCTGTACTTCGACCGTCAAGCACCGCCCGCTGCCAGCATAAAGCACACGGGGAGGCGAGTTCATCGCATCTATCGCATCGATACTTCTCAACATAGTGTTCATCGTCTCGTCGCATCGTACCGGTACGCAACGCTACACCTCCGGAGTCATCGAGTGTCACCAGCCACCTACCACCACCTACGGTTCATCAGCCGCCGGAAAAACCCGTTCATTCAGGTGATGTACTAGATTATAAGACAATAAACGAAGAGAAAATTAATCCAATTGGACTAGACGTGTTAGGCTGAGAAGTATAAACGCAGGCGAACGTATTATGCGTCTTGACTAGACTGATCGAGAATATGGGGCTGTCGTATTACTCGTATTTAATGATTTCAGTTAGAATTCTGGACTAGTTTGTTGGATATTTGGTTGCACGTGTTCTAGGTGTTCGGAAGTGATCCTACCAGCAGTCTCATCCGGCATTCGTCACATCGCGGCTTTGCGACAGCTTTGCTGTCTGGCGCGGAAGCAAGGTTCGTTTTTGTTGAGCTTCCACGCTTGTTACAATATCAACCATATTGATCGGATGAGCCATCTCGAAAAAAGCTTGCCTAGATGAAACGCGTCCACAGACGCACATACAATTGATTGATTGATTTATCGTTATATAGGAGGCTTTCAGCCTGAGGCTGGTTCGCCTCCATGCCGGGTCGATTTTTGATGTTCAATTTGATTCTACGATGTCGTAATCAAACTGTCGAGCCTGATCGAGTCGAGTTCTATCGATTGATAATGTTTCATACAGGTGAGATAGCGTGTGTGGATGGCTGTCAGGTGCAGACGGCAAGACGTGTGAAAATCGATTCTAATACCTATCTTACGCTAGTAACAAAGGTAAAAGAAAAAAATTGTCAGAAGCTCCAAGTTTTTCATGAAGCTCAGAGAACTGTAACGAAGTTAAGACAATGCTAAAAAAATGTTAGGAATTTCACAAAAGTTCAGAGAACTCAAAGGAAGTGCAGTTCCAAAATTTTCAGGAGAATCTAAAGGACTACAGACGAGTTCCCAGTAAATCAGGGAAGATCAAAAAACCTCAGGGCAATTCAATTAGCTTCAGTGAAATTTCAAATACTTTTTTGGGAAGTTCTAATTACTTCAGGATGTTCAAAGAATTCTTAAAAAATGGAGGGAACTTCAGTAGTGTACCATAAACATTAGGAAAATTAATGAAACTTCAGGGAGGTCTTAGTGATGCTAAGGGAAGTTTATTCTTATAGAGGATTCCGTAACTGACATGGAAGTTCAGAGAATTTCAGTGAAGTTCAAGGAACTTCAATTCCAAAGTCAAGAGAAATTTTCGAAAGTTTGGAGATCTTTGTGAAAGTTACATAAATACTTCTGAGAACTTCATGGAAAATTAAGGGATGTGCTGCTTCATGGGATGGCTGCTTTATTAACAGTTGGAAAATTGCGGTATCTCATATTTTTTTAAGTTTTAAGTCATCTAAATTATACTGGAGTACTAATCATTGAATACATCGTTAAAATTCTAGAGCAATGACCGAGAGAGTGATTAATTACTATAAAATTCCGTGTATGTGAGATTTTGTAGGTTCTCCAAATCACTCTGGAGTTCACATCAACTGATCTATGCATATGCAGTACCGAAATATGCCCCAGTAGATTCATAGAGCCAATGTGCATCTTTCGTGATCCATTTTGATATACATCAGATGTTCGTGTTCCACCAAATTGTAATGGAACTTTGCTCAGATAATGAACTAGATCAGCCAATACTGGGGCAATGTTTGTAGTATCAAAATATATCCAAGTAGATTCATGGAG